AAATATCTCACAGACAGTAAATTTAAATTATTGATGTTAGCAGAAAGAAGCATGGACACAGCCAACCCAGAAGAGTAGTTTATCTCCCACAAATTCACAAGTTCCTGCTTTTCCCCCACATTCAAATCACCATCCTCTCATCTCAGTGTGACCAATTTTGCTCTAGGTAAATCTGAGATAAATCTGGGTTACTCATTTTATTTTCCCCCATTTGGGGGGAGTTTAAAATTTTTACTCAGTTAGCTAATGCTTGTTTTAAAAGTTAGGATTGAAAATGTGCTTTTCAAAAAGAAACTTGGTTTGTGCAAAGTTTAAATATGGAGGATTTGTATGTAAAAGATATGGTGGAGGGAATGGTTATCTGCTTCACAAAGACTTCTTTGTATTGCAGAAAGACTAGGCTCTGTGAGAGCACCCTTTAAAAGCAAATTTGTCCAGCATTTTCAGATTTGCACTGACAGACTTTGGGCCTAAGTTCCATGTGCATGGAAAACACCTTTTTAATGAAAGGGAGCCACACCTTCAAAATAACTATGAACTCCACAAACTTTCTGCAGCTGAAGTACAGGGGTGAGGTAGGAAGCAGCTGATATACATACTGAGCTTAGTCTAATATTCAAAGTTGTCAACAAAACCTGTGTGGACCATATACAATATCCCTGCCTGTTCCCTCAGTTATTAATGGTTTTTGGAGCTAGCCCTACTGAGGGCAGTATAAAAAGCCTTAGAAGATTCAATGCCTGTAAAAACAAGGAAATTCTTTCTACAGAGGAAAAGTGACATGTGCAGTGTAGGTTAATAAGACACAAGCCAAAGACCCCAATAGAGAATTCTGTCCCCCAACCCCTAGAGAGTGGTGGGAGGGAGCCAGCTTCCCTTTCTCCAGTTTGCTGTGTCCATCTCTGTCTAGATGGAGTAAGTGCTCAATTCTCAGCGAAGGACATATTGGAACTGACAGCCTCACTATTGTATATGTAATATGTCATGGCTGACAGATGAAGAATTGGGATTTCATGAAATGCAGTGGGATATAGCCATCAGCTACAGCTAGAGGAGGCCTTGTTCCCAACCCCTTAGAAAGTGCTCCTTCTGGGTCCCCTTTGCCCCTTTTCTGCAGCCCCTGAGAGTGAAGGGTTTAAAGCACCATTTCCCCCCATTACTCCTGATCCTTTGTTGTGCTCCCCTTTTGTCCACCCTGCCCTTTGATTGCTGAGTTCTCCCAGCAGGGCAAATTGCAGCTGAAAAGGTCTGAACAATGGGATTAGGCAGTGGTCCAGGGAAGCACTAGGGACCTGCAAGCTTAACCGCATTACTCTCAGCTGGTCTGCCCTGGGTGTAAGTGAGCAGGCCCCACCTGTCACTGCCAGGGTGAGATCAATCTGCCTAAGAGACGGTCACATGACCTGCCCCAAAGCAGAGCTAATTGGAAGGTGAAATAATTCACAGGAGATGGGGGAAAACTAACAGTAAAAATTGCACTGATGGGGAGTTACCTTACAAGTGCCTTTGGCCCTTAAGTGATTGGAAAAAAAAATTTTTAAAGAGAAAAACAATAAAAATGATACAAAATTTCAAAACAAGAAAGTAGGAGAGTAACAATGGTTAGTGCATTACTTATTGTTATCTTCAAAGTAGCTTCTCAGATTATAAGATATAGGCATGAAAATTGATCAGACAGTGTATGTACAAACCTTTCTTTTCAGTGAACTAATAGAAATTAGTAGTATAGCTATCTTAACTATCTTGCATGTATGTGTATATATATATATATATATATTTCATTTTCCCTTCCTTCTTTTCTTGGAAAGGATTTTTTTGTTCAACACTTAATGCACTTTGGCACCCCAGTTTCATTATTAACCGCTATCAAATGAAAGATTAGTGATGTGTTGTCTTTTTTATTCAGCTATACATTTTGTCATTGTAATTAACCATACAGCTGCACTTTTATGATTTATTTATTCAGCATACATTCATGAACGGTGTGGGTGCCCAGTTTGGTAACAGAACCTGAGGAGAACATAAACAAGTGCCACTAACATTTGTGATAACTGTGATGATTGTCTTTATGAGTGTCAGTGGCACATGCAGAAATAGAGCATAAGAAATTTGGTCAGAGGTGCTGATTGTCCTTACAGACAATATATTGCAGCACACAGTTCATTCATCTTGCTATTCACAAAGTGAAATAGCCACAGTAAAATGTATATTATTTTATTTATTACATAAATGCTTACTCAGTGCCTGCTACATGCCGAGGTTCTGTGCTTTGTACCTTGGTGTCAGTGTATGCAAGAAAGGGAGGCAGGGATTTCATTCAATTAGCACACAAGCCAAAGGTGAATTATAACCATGGTGAGTGCAACACAAATGAAATACGTGCTTTCATATTTCTGTAAGGTATAGGATCTTCCCCAAGATTGAACTGAGACCACTGCATGACGAAGGTATTAATTAGGGATTCATTGGGTGCCAAGGATCAGAAGATGAGCAGCAGAGAAGTAGTAAGTGTCAGGAACCAAGATTTCAGTCCTTACCTCGGTGTGATGCGCCCCTGTGAACTTCAGTGTCCAGAGCTAGAGGTCTTTGGAGGGGAGAGGTCCGCTGCAACTCTGTTTCGCCCAGGTCCAAAATGGTAACATACACCTTTAGGTTCAGTGTAATTTTCAATAGTCACTCCCACTCACTGTTAGACCTGCCTTAGTATGAGTAAAATATCATCCTAAGAAGCAGAAAGCATAGCCTGCAAGCCCTCCTCCAGACCTGTGATCCGGTGTGTATACACATAGTGTCAGCTAAATCCACAGCATAAATGGTGAATTAGCACAGCCCCAGATCATAAAAGATAAGTAAGCAACATGTAATATTTTATGCTGTGAATAAGATTTCTATATTTTCGCAGAAACTGAAATAACTTAAGTCCACAGCAGTAATACCTAGAAGACACGCTCAGGTGGGAGGATTAATTCTTTATATGTTCATGATAGTGGTGTTTCTACTATAAATTGCAAGATGATGAAAAAGCATTCAGCAATTTTTTGTTAACTTTCTTGTGGGTATTTATAGGCTTAGGTTAGGGAGACTATCTCATACTTAAAAAATATAGTGCAGCGATGTAAGTATAAACAGGATTTCACAAAATCAGTGAGGCAAAAAATACCCTAGGGATCCTAGGAACAAGTGTGAGAGAAACCCTCGCTGCATTACGACACTGAATTTTACCCGTAATGCTTTTTGCCATCTGTGTTTTGACTCTTAACAGGAACTATAAAAATGGTTTTTTTTAACAAAGCATAAATTCTATAACATCAGTTCAAAATACAGACAGAATGATAGATGATATGGGGATAGATAAATAGACAGGCAGGCAGACACAAAGACAGACAGACTAGATCAATAGATATTACAGGCTAAATGTCCCTAAATTTCCTATGTCAAGCATCATAGTTCACGACTCAGTAGGGATATCATCCAAAACTTTCTTCAGTTTACTAATATTTTGTCTTCTGCAATGAATCTTAGGTTAAGGCGTCCTGTTGGTTCACTCCTGTATGTACCAATTGGATCTACACTGAGCATTGAGGAATGCTTCTTTGGATTAATAACATGATTTAAAAATGTATCTGGAACAGTGAGAGCATATCTGTATTAAAATAGCTTTAATATCTCAAAATGATGTGTTTACCCCCATCCCCTTTGTGATTTTACACACACTGATGCTGTTGTGCCTCAGGCATGTGTTGCCCTTTCTAACTGAGGAGTCTGCCCTAAGGAAGGTGCTGCAGATTTGAGGAGCCCTCCGAGCCCGTGCATGAAGATGCAGCCACCAGTATACAGGGGAGTGATCTTGAACCACAGGGATTTTTCCTGGTACCTTTCTCCAGGAAGCTCAGGGTTCCTGCTGAGAATTTCCAAGGGTTTTCTCAAAGAATAACAAATGCCTAGTATAAGTTTACAGATCCCTTACCATGTTAATCCCAAACACAGCAACACACCTACAGTCCACAAAGATTTGAAGGCTCAGGATAATTCCTTCCTGTTTCTTCTTGTCATCTATTTCTCCTCTGTGTCCTTTGCCCTTAATTCCTCTATTGGTGCTATTTTTACTTGCTGTGGTAATTCCTTCTGAGCTCCTTGTTATTTGGCTACAGAGATGCTGAACTCTAGGACAAGTTACAAGCTGAAAGGATCTGGAAGTGGAGGACACAAGGGAAAAGTGTGCATCGGAGGAGAAGCAGGATCATAAATAAGAGGAAGCCTGCGTTAGGCAAAAAAAGAAAGAAAGAAAGAAAGAAAGAAAGAAAGAAAGAAAGAAAGAAAGAAAGAAAGAAAGAAAGAAAGAAAGAAA